CACAGGTCAGGTTGGATTTTATGGGGCGCGTTTCCCCGGTAGAAAAGAAGGTATATGTAGTAAGTATAAGAACATGTGAAGTTGGACGTATGAATCAATCAGGATCGAAACATTTATATTTGCAGTATTTGGACCATATTTGGGTCGATTCCGCCGATTTCGTAATTATTATTTGTCTTCTTACGCTTGCGCACGTGACTCAATCACGAGAAGACCCTGGGGACCAGGAGTTGACCGGCCGAGAATGGACTAAAACCCAGTGCTTTTCGACCCCACCATTGCTTGCGAGCGTTGTTGTGGCAATTTCATCACAGGCGGAAGTGAATGGCCATGCCTTTCTCCCGAAAAGCTACCTTAGAAGTTGATTATTGAGTTATTTGACGTGATATCTTAGGATACAGATCTCCAAGAAACTTCTAACAGGTACGTTGGGAAGTGCATGTTGTTTGGGTCAATGTAATGGCCTCAAACACAAGATAGACCCGTACAAGGAATTACATGTTGTAGTTCGATCAATTGAAATAAGGTAACCATTATATAAAGCTGCATGTGTATGAAGGCTTAACTGATACTGTGCTGTGTACATGCAAAGGACGAGGTATCCTTCTTAGTGGATATCTTTATACGAGTAAGGAAAAGACCATTTCTGCAGGTTAAGCAAAAGTCGAGTATTGGCGCCAAATTTTCATTGAATTATTTCAAGTTACTTTCGCTCTCCCTTTGCTGTTTGCTTGTTGCATTTCCACATTTCTCTTCTATATTTAGTTCCACTGGGCATAACAGATCAATCAAAATCGATCGTCGGAAATGTTGCTTTGTTTTGTTGATAAGTATCAATCCATTAGTTAAAATTGTCAATAAAAATCAGTTAGATTTTCACAAAAATTTCAGGACTAGTGATTGATTAACATAAACAGTTGTCCTGCGAAGCAAATGCCATTAGAGTAAAATAATAGACTGAAAAAAGAAAATTGTCATGTTTCCTGAATGTCTACCATAGGAAATCAGCTGCTGTTTCATTTGTTTGCAAGACTGCTGCATCCACACTTGTTTGTGTTTATACAATCATTCACTGAGCTACAGTAATGTCTTTCTGAAAGACTCTGTCAACCGGAATGCTTTGTGAACATTTCTGTTTGTTTTGATTCTGTCGCTGAAGAAAGTGTTAGAAAAATCACAAGGATTTGGGTGTATTTGGGAGACTAAAATATAATTTACTGGTAGGAACTGATGGGAGATGTTTGCATTAGTCGCAATTTGGCTTAGAACTACTGTTTTTTGAAATTTTGACTTCGCATCACGAAGTGACAACTGTCAGCTACGGTTCCTGCCGCTGTAAGCGCCATGCAGAGACTGAAACAATTCCATGCAACGAATTTGCTTTTTATTTGCTTTCAGAGACTTCAGAAACATATTTGCAGAATTTATAGTACTTACTATGCTTAGCATACTGTCTTAGTCATGATGTAGAATAAGAGTAACGATTATTTTTTTTTTCATTGACGAATTCATACTGCGCTTCAGAATCCCTACAGAGTTATTACTTATGGATACTAAGACGTTGTCAGTTCTCTCTTTTTGCAATAAAAGGTTAGTTTTCTTTACCAGGAATAAAATGCAGTGCAGAGAAAGCACATAAATTCACTTTACATTGAAATAAATTTCAAGAAATCTCGCCAAAGTTAACCTCAAATTGGATGAATCCACAAGCAATGCGATAGTCTTTTCTGAAGGCTAGTATTGGAAAGGAAAATTCAATTCACTGTCACTTACTGCAGCAAACAGGAGTATTTTTTCTTGTATCTGAGCGCATCTTAACTGTTTCTCCACCAATCCTAGAGAGATTTTCTGAGATAATTCTCTTGACGAACGTCTATGGTCTACACCTTCTGCCAAGGTTCTTCGCAATCACCATGGCCGAAATCACATCGTACCGGCCGTTCTTTAGCTTCTCAAATAGGTGAAAAAACTAAAAATAT